CAGATGGTGATTGCAGCCATGAAATAAGAAGATTCTTATTACTTGGAAGGAAAGTTATCACCAACCTAGACAGCATATTGAAGAGGAGGGACATTACTTTGCCAACAAAGGTCCATCTATTCAAGGCTATGGTTTTTCCAGTAGTCATGTATGGATGTGAGAGTTGGACTATAAAGAAAGCTGAGCACCGAAGAATTGATGCTTTTGAACTGTGGTGTTGGAGAAGAGTCTTGAGAGTCTCTTGGACTGCAAGGAGATCCAATCAGTCCATCCTAAAGGAAATCAGACCTAAATGTTCATTGGCAGGACTGGTGTTGAAGCTGAAACTCCAATACTTTGGCCTCCTGATGTGAAGAGCTGACTCATTTGAAAAGATCCTGATGCTGGGAAAGGTTGATGACAGGAGGAGAAGGGGATGACAGAGGATGAGATGGTTGGATGGCATCATTGACTTAATGGGCATGAGTTTGAGTAAACCCTGGGAGTTAGTGATGGACAGGGAGGCGGCTGTCCATGGGTCGCAAAGAGTTAGACTTGACTGAAGATGTCTAGTGCATGGACTCTGGCTTAATGTTTTTTATATCTTCATTGGCCATCTCAGTGAATGCCTATGGGGGGTCTAAAAATATCTGTTGAATGAATGAATGCAAATGTCATTGGGTCCTTTCCTAAAACAGTAACAAAGGAACAGTATTTTCAACTGTTCTCATCCAAAAGTTAAAAGAACTCCTATATTTCCATGTCTTCAAGTCTCATTTTCACTTTCACTTTCAGTTTCCCTGATACTTCATGAATTTAAGAAATATCAAATGACTATTAATAAATTTAGAGAATGGTATGCACCATCTTTTTTTTTCCCTGCACTTCTCACATAAGAAAAACTGTGTCAGTTTGCATTTTATTCCACTTGGACTTTCAATGTGAATGCTATTCTTGATCAAATTGAACATAGCCAAAGTATCTCTTTTAGCATCTCCTACATTAACAGACCAAACATATTCATAAAGCAAAATTTCCTGGAGGAAACATCAACAACCAAGAAACAGATAACATTAGTATCATATGTCTATACTGAAAGTCATATTTCCTGAGAACATTTATTTGCTAATCAAATTCTGACCACGTTCTTCCATTTCTTTTTTCTCCATCCCTGGCTTGGTTATCCATTCAATGCATCATGAAATCTGATTTCCATTTCTTAAGGCTTCTTTATCATTTTTCTTTCAAGTCTTTCTTTTCCCAACCAATTTCAGTCCCCTGCCCCTCAACTTATAAACAGAGTCCATATTTTATCTATGTTTATCTCTGTCAAATGATATTTTTGTTAATATTATTTCTTTCCTTGATCAAAAACCTTCAGTGACTGCTTTATATCTGGGAGGATAGGTTCAGATTCTTTCTTCTTTTATTAATGGCACTAGGAAATTCAATTTGAATATATTCTTCATGCATACAAATTAATTGAAAATGTTTTGAAACTATTTCAACTTTGAATTGTAGAACAATATTCTTCCATCTCCACAAATATTGCTTTACTATGTAGTGAAATATCTAATATATTGTAAAATTTGGAAATATTAATGCTTTTAGATAAAAATGATTTTCTAATAGTAAATTGTAAGTATTTCAGTATCTTTTTTTTTTTTTTTAGTTCTTTTTAGAGCAGTGGTTCCTATTCTAATTGCTCTACAGAATCTCCAAGGTAATATTTCTCAGACTTTTTTGAATTATGAGTTATATAGGGATCTTCTTAAAATGCAGATCCTGGTTCACTGTGTGGCTGTTACTGTAGAATGAATTGCTAATAAGCTCCAATCTGGTGCTTTTTGCAGTTGTTCCAAAGTTTACATTTAGAAGGAAAAGTTTTAACAATATGTTGATGCAGATTTAGTGGCAGAGCTACCTGTAGTCACAGTTATATAAAATTCTGTTCAAGAAATTTTGCATATCATCTTTTAAAAGGCTCACTAGTTCTATGAGGAATTATTACTATGATACTATGGAGTCTGATGCAAAAGTGAAGTCTAGAAAAGATTAAGGATATTTCATATGATTTTGGGGACCAGGATACAAGCCCAGGTGTCCCCACACCCAGTGTTCAGTCTGTGAACCACAGGACAGATGTTTTCTTTGGAAGCAGTTGGATAAATAATTGAGCTCCCCTGGTGGCTCAGATGGTAAAAAATCCACCTGCAATGTGGGAGACCTGGGTTCGATCCCTGGGTAGAGAAGATCCCCTGGAGGAGGGCATGGCAACCCACTCCAGTATCTTGCCTGGAGACTCCCCATGGACATCCTGGTGGGCCATGGATAGAGGAGTCAGTGGGGTTGCATACAGTTGGACACGACTGAGTGGCTAAGCAGAGCACAGATAAATAAGTACAGTTTAAGAGAGCTACACCAGGCTGTACTTCTTAAACTGGGGCTGCTTTTGTTTTTATGACTTGCTCTTGACTTTTCTTGTTTTAGTTGTCACCCTTCATAATTCTGGACAATATGAAATGTCACTAGACTTGTCTTACCTTTGTGTTCATGTCCTGTGATTACCGAGCAGCTAAAACGCGACTGGATATGGATATGGATTTGGAAATCGATATGGATATGGATAATTAGGAATATATCCACCTTGCTGGTTTGGATAATAACTTGTCTGCATACATCAAAAGGAAGGAGAAAATTGCATAGAGTTAAGATAATGTAGGGCAAATAATTCATAATAATATCTATTAACAACTTACATCATAAATGTGATAGGTCCTTCTGTATCATCTGTTGGATTATTTTTCAAACTTTTAGTTAGATTTTTAGTTTTTTGTATGAGAAAAATATTTTTAAAATAGTAAAATAATATAGGATTTTTTTTTTTGCTGTTTGTTGATGATTACGTTGTTTTATCATACCCAGAGCCATTGATTATGGCTGACCTCTCAAAAATGATTTAAAATCTTTTTTTTTTTTTTATGTTGGTCTTGTTTATCTCACAAGACCTACAAAAATTATGAGAGAAGTGCCCTATAGCCCTCCGCAGGGGCGGGGGGCGGGGGAGAATGACCCTAGCTCTAAAAAATCTTTTTTATGATATTAGCTCTAAACTGATTTGGTCACCCTTCTAGGGAGTAGGCATTTACTAATTCCAAATTACTGGAATTGTTACTGATCACTGTTGTATTATAATGAGCTTNTACTAATTCCAAATTACTGGAATTGTTACTGATCACTGTTGTATTATAATGAGCTTACTGCCTCTTAAAACCCCTAATTCTGTAACATTCACTTCTGTTAATCCAAATATCCTTCATCCAACATTCTGAATCTTTTTATCTGATATATTTTAAGATCATCTACTTGTTAAGTTAGTATACATTTTTGAGAACTATCACATTGATAAGACATGTCCCAAAAGTGTGAGAAATCAGGGGTACATTTCATGGAGCAAAATGTTAAATGAATAAAATTCTCTCTCTCATCATGGTCAATTTAAACTTTTCCTTATGACTTTATCACCCACTATAAGAATCGGAAATTGGAAAGCTACCATTACAGCCTCTATGCTCCACTAAGTGTATATTATGCTCAAAAGAATATGACTCTTTAGGCAAAGTCAAATTGTTCATCAGACAAACATATCTGAGTTTTAAGAAAGTGATTGGCTACATCAGGTTGGCATTATGAGTTTCTATCTAAATGCTACTAATATTAAGGAGTTCAGGACTTTCCTCAGTGTATTATAAAGAAATAAATGTATAAATAACAAATGCATAAACAAGTACTGCTGTCATTCACTGTATAAATATATTTCAGAGATGAATGTGTTTCTTTCTTTTAGAATTAACACTAGGGAATAAAATATGTTTGTGCTATACCATTTTCTCAGGGGAATACTTACAGGGTTATATCTAAACCGGTAACGTTCCTGGTAAAATAAAGAACAAATTAAAATTTTAATACATGTTTAATTATCACCTTTCCCAGTGAATAAAATTTACTTACCTCTTCAGATGAATCAGCTTTCTGGGAAAAAAAAGAAGAAAATAGTTAGCACATTTATTTTTAATCTTTTAATTTGTTATGGGGTAAAGTAGTTAACACATTTTAATCTTACAATTCTAGATTGAGTGCAGAAATGCACTTAGCTGCCACAATTAAACAAAATGGAGGCAAAGTCTTAGGTAACTGATAGAAGCAACCTCTAATTTTTTTTTTTTTTTGCTGTTTTGGTTGTTGTTTACACTTTGGTTGTTGTTTGCTTACATCTTTAAAATGAGTGAATAATAGTTTGCTGCCATGTTAATTTTCTACATTCAAATAATTCACTGTGGTTTGAATTTCTTTTGGGTGTAAAATTGAGAAAAATCTATTACCTTGAATAGGACAGTGAATTTGAATAGTTCACTTCTGGTTTTGCTCAAGAAAAACATTTTTTATGTAGATATGTTTAAGTAACTTAAAAGCCACTAATATTCAAACATTAGTATGCTGGTAGAGTCTGATATTATAATTTTCTCTGGTTCTTTTTAAGTTTTATTTTTCCACAACTATCATTTTATAGAAAATAACATGATTTATAGTGATATCATAACCAATTTGTTTTTGAAACTCCTACTAGAATTTGCTCAATATCTTGTGGTATTGCTATTTCTTGTGTAATTTCTCAGTAACTGGACATAATGAATATGAAGTGAAAGGGACAATTAGTTTTAACAGGAGTAACAAATTTAAGGAAAATAGAAAAAGCAGGAAGACACTGGTAGAAGGTGGAAGAGGAGAGGGAGGAAGTGGAAAGCAATTTAGAGAAGTGAAGTTTTACGTAATGACACGTGGGAGTAAATGACAGTACAAGTTGAGAATTCATGGCATTTGTCAGAGCTACAGCTTTTAATATTTAAGTGCCTTTTCCCGGTTTTTGTTCCCTTTTTTTGGGTTTTAAAAAAAATTATTTTTATATTATACTATTGTAGTTTATGTCTGTGTGTGTTATGCACATGCATGTCTTTTCAAGATATATTCTAATTCCTCACAAATTTTATGAAGCTTAATTTAAGGAAAATGTTCCTATAAAACATTAAAAAAATTTTAAAGCCATGTTCAGTCATGCACATATAGGTCAGAACACAAGAAATAGGAAACACTTTTAGGATACTTCCTAAGAGCTTAAGTTCAAAATTTCCAGGTATATCAATACTTACAATCATGGCAACAATGAGAGCCATAATAAAGGCAAAGAAAAAGATCTTCATATCTGGTAGAGTCCTGTGAAAGCATATGTGAAAAATCAGTAACCCATCCACTCCTGCATTTAAAAATCAAACATGTATTTATCAAGCTATGCTCCACAGTCTTGTGACACTGAGTGGAAATGCAAAGACAATTGAATCACATTGCCTGTCATCATGCAATGTAGAGACAGGTAGGCATCTTGATAAGCAAAAAGAAGTACTATGACATTAAACACTAAAGCACTGTGAACACACAGCAAGTGAGCGCCTTAGACCTAGAGAATGGAAATATTGAAGAAAATAAAATGGTAAGACTTGACCTCCCCCATGGTTCAGTGGTTTAGAATCTGCCTGCCAATTTAGGGGTAATGGACCAGGTAATACCCTGGTCCAGGAGAATTCCACAAATTGCAGGGTAAATAAGCCCATTAGCCACAGCTACTGACCTTGTGCCCTAGATCCTATGGTCTGCAACAGGAGAAGCCACCTCAAAGAGACCCAACTCCAGAATTAGAGAGTAGGCCCTGCTCTCCACAGCTATAGAGTGAATGCCAGGGTGCAGCAGGGAAAACCCAGCACAGCCAAAAATATTTTAAAAAGAAAAAAAAAAGGTAAGACTTGTGTTACATTATATGGGGTTAATGAGTAAGTAAAGACAAATCTTTGTGGCCTACAAAGAAAAAAAAAATGAAAGAGAATGAGAAAAAATATTTCATCCTGTAACAAGGACAGAAAAAGGAGACAGGCTGACCATTTAGATTTCTGTGAAATGATAGGGAGCTTACATAATGATAGTATGGATGGTTAAGTAAGGTGGAATTTGAGATGTACTTAGAAGGTAGAATGACAAGCTACAAGGATTGGCTTTGAATCAGAATTAGTGAAAATGAGTCAGGTTTCTGACTTGAAAACTGTAGATGATGTAATCTTGCTATTAGAAAATTAATGATGCTGGGGAGAGAAAAATCAAACAAAAATGTTTTAGGAAAAAATTCTAGTTATTTTGAAATTGAATTAATAAAATGATTTAATCTTCAAATAACCTTATTGAACACAATTAAACTTAACTGGGAAACTTTAATATGTTTTTGTAACTTTTTATCTACAATGAACCCAGTATTGTTGCTGTTGAAAGGAATTACTGTAGATTATTTCTAAATTACTAGCATTAAATTTAAAAAATCCCTTATATATAAGGTGAATAATAAGTAAATTTAAAAATAATTTTTAGTCATCAGTTTGATAGAACATCATAGCAACATCTTTAAGGAAAGAAACTACTCAGGATAAATAACTATAAATCTCTCATATATAAATTAGAATTTGTAACTGATGATATTTCTATTTTTCTGTGTTTGCTGATTGTGTCTCATTGATTTAAGCCCTGAATACCAGAAAAATGATAAAAATTATATATTTCTTGGTCAAGGTTTTCAATCATTTACTATTACACTAAATATTCAGTGATGCCATTTTAATGCTGTTTTCCTTGGATTTTATAGAATGTAGATAATTGAGAGAAATGACAGAAACTGATCGAGAGATGGATAGACAGAATAATTTAAGGGCTTTAAGAAAATGCTTCTTAAAATATACAATGATAAAGCTTGTGTAGGTTCAGAAAAACAGAATATATGTTGATGATGACAAAACAATGGGAAGGTTGGAAATGGTCTGTGATGGGAAAATATAACCTTGAAAAAGGCTACTTAAATTTAAAAGAATGCATGTTTCCAAAAATAGAGTTGATGCTACTTGAGATGCTTTTTCTGTAAAACAAGATACACTGTAGGCTGGAGGTAAACGTGTTAACAGAAAGGAGATCATACATTTAGTCAAGGAGAAATAGGCTTCTAAGATGTATCAGAGACAGAGAAGATGGAGCTTGTCTTCCATTTTCCACCTCAATCACCTTGTGCAACAATTGCTGTCCATTCAGAGGCACTGAAATCCTGAAATCACTTTTAGATCCTGACAGAGGGCTATTTCTTTAAAATTATTTCTTTATGAGAAGCTATCAACAAATAACATATAATTAATTAAGTATTTCAGCTCATTCTACTGAGCAAAATATTAGAATAAGACATCATATTAGATTATATATGAACATACCTTTCACCCAAGGTGAGACTCAGGAGTCAGAGAAGCTGAAATTCTGAAGCTTAAAGAGAGAACGTCCTTCGCTGGAGAACTGTTCTATTTAAATACACCTGAAATTTTCCATTTGTCATTCTAAATCATGTCAATTGTCAAATCATATCATAGAACAGAAGACAATGCCCAAAATCTGTCTTCACAGATACTAAGAATAAAGTTAATAGGGTGAATTTACAATAGAAGATTGTGAAGCAGAAGGACCAGGAAACAAACGAATCCGTCAAAAGTTAATCCTAGTATCAATCTAATCAATCTAGGCCACATGAATAAAATAAAGGAAAAAATATGATAGAGAAAACAAAGTTAGAAATAAAGTAAAAATATTTCTGTAAAACACTAACCACTCACATTATTTCAACAAATACATTTTTGAGATGGACCAAATCTCTGCCAAAAATATATCATCGAATGAAAAATTTACATTTCTCTAAGATATGGTGCTATCATAATATATTCAAGTCATTTATTTTAAATGTTTCCTACAAATTATTAATCTGTTCTTTTATCTTATTACATTATATTCCAATCAAATGTTAAATATTTACTAGAAAAAATGGATAATCCTTTGTATATTGCCTGATAAAGTGATCCTTTTTATCAAAACCATGTGATCAGAGAAACTCAGTAGTATATATTTCATATAGTGACTAGATGCATATGTTCAGAATTAAATGTACTCCTTTGAATCTTTAGGGGATCATGTTTCTCAGTGGAAGTCATGAGTTGACATGATTACAATATGCAGAAGAAAATACTTAGGTCTGCCTCAGTCTCTCAGGAAATTAATACAAAATTTACCTCTTTGCTATTTGTTGGCTAATTTAACATACTGAGAATGGGAAATTGGAAAATTGTGTAAATTTTAAATAAATTTTATGTCTTATTTCATGATTACTCAGTGTATGTATTATAGGAGACCATCAGAATCAGCATCTTCAGAGATATTCTTGGAAATTCAACTTCATTAGCTCTCATCAGATATATTGAATCAGGATTTTGGAAGTGCATAAGGAATCTAATTTTCACACTGTCTCCAGGTTATTCTTTTTGTACTATGAAGTTGAAGAATCCAGGTAAGTACACTGATAAAGACATTGTTCATCTATTGAAGTGACCCTACCAATAGAAGTCATAGTTTTGGTGTTTGTAGGAAAAATTTGTGCTATAGGTGAAGAATATGATTATAAATTATTTTTATTCTCTGGACAGTGCTTTGACATTGTGCATGATATATTAAGGCAACTAAAGAATTAAAGTCAAACTCAAGTTCCATATTTTTTACTCTTTTCCATTAGTTTTTTGTCTTGTAGATATATGGTTGCTTCTCAAATGCAAAATTAATTTTGTAGATATATTTTGAATGGAGAAAAGATGTATAGGGTTCAGAAACCCTTGAAGTTAGCCTGATTTTTAAAAATAAGTCTTGCTTTATCCATTTTGGAGATTAAAGTGATTTTCTTCCTTCCATTCTCTATTCTTTCTCATTCTTCCTCACTGAATTTCTTCCCTCCACATTTTTTCTTCATTGATTCATTTAAGGAATGGTCCTAGACACAATGCTAGTAGATCTAAGATATTCACAGTGTAAGAGAACTAATGTTCCAGAGACCCTCCAAAAAATCAACAGCAAGAAACACAAACTGCCTGGTAATAATAATTAATAGATGCTCATATTCATATTTAAAATTTACAATTAAACTTAACACACCTATATTTTAGTCTGGGGCACCCAGATGCAGACATTATTGCACTCATCATTATCTCCTTCAACATGATAGGAAGTGTGGGGATTAGATTAAAAGCAGAAAATTAGAATTGTGGACTCTAAACAAGAAGTAGATCTGTGTTATTACGGTTTCATCCTCTAGGAACAATGGGTCATTTTGGAAAACTGATGGATGAGAGGATGTCTTGATATTTCAAATTAAGACCACAGGTGTTTTTTATACACTAATCAAGCAACATACTCTTTGAAAATGTCAAGGTCATTCATTTTCAAAGGAAAAATCAACAAAGAGCTACTGCTGTATCACAGGTATGGCATTAAATTGATGACATTGGAAAGCAACCTGTGAATGAGTATTTGTAGTGATATTATTGCTGGAATGTCCTTATCCACCTTCTTCCTCTTTCCTAGTTTTTCTTCCTCCACCACCTCCTGCTCATCCTCCTTCATCTGTCCTTCATTGAAACGATGGTCTTCAGTTTATGACAAAATCTGACTTTATTAATGAAAAAGTAGCTTTATTATATTCCCATGTAAAGTACTTAAAAGAAACAATATTGCAAATGACAATGAAGAACAACATGTAACTGACTACCTGATAACAAAAAATCTCTGGGACATTTGGGACGCAAAATGACAATCTCCTATTCCATCCCTTAGGAGGTCAAATTATATTATGGACTGAATATTGTGCTTCCCAAATCATACTGAAGCTCTTAACCGTAACATGTTACATTACTAGGTGCCTTCTCTGGAAGGAAATTAGGCAAAATGTGGCTATAGAGCAGAGCACTTAGGATGGAATTAGAGGTCTTATGAGAAGAAGAGGCACTAGCGCTTCCTCTCTTTGCACAACGTAAAGATGATGCGAGAAGGCTAAAGTCTGCAAGCCAGGAAGAGGGTCTGCACCAAGAAGCCAACAATGCTGGCACCATGATCCTGGGCTTCCTAGTCTCCAGGTCTATGAGAAATGAATGTCTGCTGTTTAAACAACTCAGTCTATGCCATTTTGTTATAGAAGCCTTAATTGAGCAAGATTTTTCTAAAATAAAAGTTTAAAGGATAGGTTACTTAAAAGAAACAATATTGCAAATGACAATGAAGAACAACATGTAACTGACTACCTGATAACAAAAAA